CGTTCCTGCCTCGCGCACTAACCATTTTGTCTTCCGTAGTGGCGGCTCTCGGCGTCATGTCGCTACGAGCTTCGCGCTTGCTTGGCCTGGGCTGCTTCTGTCGCTGTACACCCAGGGTCGAACTCGCATTGGCAGCAGTCACTCGGCCATCGACTTCTCGTAGAAAACATTTCATTTCAGTTTGATTTTTTTCCCCTCTATCTGTATACATGTTTCGTTGCTTGCAGGCAGAAGGCACTGCGTTTCCGATAATCTAGCCAGGGTCGCTTGATCTAGGTGGATCGATTTTTACGACATTGAGGAAAAGCATTGTACAGACGCGTTAGTCTTGATATATTCGATGTGCTCGAGTTTGCGTTCGCCGATGCAGCCGAAAGTAAAAACAAGCGAATTGAACAGGGCTAAAGAGGTAACTTGACTTGTACGTTTTACATAAGTAGCATGGTCGATCTTGGTGGAACCGTGATTTTTTTACGTGCTGCGTTGTTTTGACACACATATACGTCCTGGAGTAACGTTTCCGAGGCCTTTACCTAGGTTTGCCATAGCTGGTTTCGAAATTGTGTGATACAACCAGATCCAAAATGACGAAGATGTGGGGAGTGAAGGCGTATCGGCGGTATATATTGTGGGAAAAGTCGAAAGATTCAAGAAAGCACGGCAGTCACCGAAAATATCGGTTGGCACGCAATTATAGAGTGCTTGGCAGTGGTGCAAGATGCACTGGCGCTGCTGTTGAAATTCCGGTGTCTGTCGTCTCCAACGGTGCTGATAAGTACAACGGAGCAATAGACAAATCCGAGTCTAGATGCAGTATTCTTACAGCCCTAGGGTTTTCATGGTTGCTCTTTACCCCCCCCCCCCCCTCTCTCTATCGCCATACATTTCTGCCACTCTATGCATTTACAACGGCAAAGGCGACCCGCAGATTTCAATTTTACATGGCAGAGGTTGCTGCGCTTGCATTGACCTCTACGATGACACTTTCACCACGAGTTGGTCGGACCCCCGAGTTTCCTATTTTTTCCCTTGTTACATCCCGTTACACTTCGTTTTGCCATCAAACCAGCTAGGCGGTCGGTGCAATGCCTCATACTCTGTTGCAGGTCGGGTGCGCGCTGCGACCGCTGTGTGGCTGCTGCTTCCTACCTGATGACTTCTTTCGATGAGGCGAACCACAGCGTCCAGGCAGGTAGAAAAGCTAGGTCATATTCCTGAGTTATGCTGCAACGGTAGCCAGCCACGTTGGAGAGACACAAGGCAGCAATCTAGAGGTAGCGCAGTTCCGCAGTAACAGTTGCAGCTTTAAGCCGTTGGTCGGCAGACATAGGTGGCATCAACGTAACAGAATGGACCATCACAATAAACGGTGGTGATTGCAGTGTCGGCGTTCCCGATGCCGCCTCTCTAAACTATACGTCCTGACTCGGTTAAGATAAGAAGAAAAGTCGAAAAACAGTGGTGATTGACATTTTCGTTTAGCCAGTCGTATCGGCCAGTAAGCAAAGACATGCCCCATGGGCGGCGTATTCGACATATTATTGTTCGATGGTTATCCGGTATCCATTGCATCTAGCAATATATGATACCAATAATGATAGGTAATAATTATAAATAATAGGGCATTTTTCTGCCTATGAATCAGTGAACCGGCAATTGTTATCAAGGACGGTTGTAAGCAGTCAATATTATTAGAGAGTAACCCAAGAAACTACTCCGCTGTAGCCTGTGGCTATTTCAGATAATATGAAAAGGTTTCTATCGACTTTCCCGCATTGCCCGTTACAGTACAGTTAGCCATATATAGTTCAGCGGAATTGCCTTCATTTGTCCTTGTAAAATGATTCGCAGCTTTCACTACCTCTCGGCCAATACAGGTAGAGATCGCTGCCGCCCCAGCCCAGGCTACATAGCTTCCGGCGTTCATCTGAACACATTCAACCGCATCCATTCACTAGTCGGTTTTTACTGGGCATTGTGGACATGTGCTGTTGTGTACTATGGCTGTACGACAGCTGTTTTTTTCCTCATCATCGTCTGCTATTACTACTGGAGCTGCGCTGGGTTTTGCAAAAATTCGCAGTTTGAAAAGCAATTTAATTCAGGTAGAAGGGCGTGATAGAGGGCAAATTGGATGAGTCTTTGCGTAATTTTTTCTGAACACGGTAGTGTCTAGGAAAGGCAAGTAGTGGTAAAACGAGAATTGCGCAGGGCCGAGAGCCGGAGGCAGAAGGAGCTGCAGAAGCAGACGGAACGCTTGAGCAAACGCGAGTTCTCCTATGAGAACGCATACGAAAACCCGCAGGCCAGACCGGACTCTGCCATACCCAGCTGGGCCCAACTATAAGAGACATGCGACTCTAATTGAACCAGCCCATCTTCGTCCCATGGATATCGCCAGCTACGGAACAACAGAGTTTGCTCACGTTGTGCACCATTGTGACTGCTTTGTGCTTTGTTCTACGTCTTCAGTTTTTGCTTCAACGAAAATGTAGAGTGCATGCATGCTCATGTAGAACGCCTCTTCGGCCTTCCCGAACACGGCCATAATTGGACGTAGGACGGAGGGACTCTACCAATGTTTATTTCGGCTCCTTTTTTAGATGGGAAACAGAAGAGCTGAGTAACGGCAGTTCTATAAAAGCTAAAAGACGATCGTCTCGACATTTCATCGAGCCGAGCAGGCGAATTAGTTCTCACTTATTTTCGGACACTACATTTGTCTGAGGCTCGTTTTTTTTTCATATAACGCAGTTCGGTGACCTTTCCGCAACTTTGGTAAGGGCACCTCAGACAACGTAAGTAGACAAGAGGTCGAATTAGTCGAAAGAGTATCTAATTGTTTTCTTCAGTTCAGTCAGAAACAGTTGTCTAATCTAAATAATAATCAATTACCTTTTTTTTTTATTACCTCCTCATTTTTTTTTACCTCCTCATTACATATTCTAATTATGCACAACGTGTATAAGCAATGGTCAGATCCATTTGCCCCTCGAAATGTCTGCTTATAATGATTGGCCACCGCTCCCATTCTTTACAGTATTGTGCTTGTGCTAAATAACCGAGAAAAGTATGGACGCCAATACTGCATAAACGGATACTGTGGGCAGTAAAAATTAAAAACAAGAAAAATCGATTTTTTTGCTATTTTTGTTTTTGCAGATATGTACTCCTGGTCTAGCTATTGCCTTCACCATATTTAGAAGTTCGCAAGAACCGGCATCCCGTTGGTCCACCCACTGGCGTTTTCAGCATCAGTAGTGCAGTAGGGTCGCCATAGAGCTGGGGTGGAGACTTGGTCGCCATTTTAGTCATAGCTACGTCGACAGGGCGGGATGGAGTTCGGGGGCAGGGTCCCTGACGTGGAAATTTGTTCTGTCATTTTACCATTGCTTGTCGTTATTGACGTCGCTGGCGGCGTTATCGGTTTCGCTTTGCCATCGCCTCCGTCGAAGACTCTGAAACTCCTCCACTCTGAACGAATAGGAAGAAGAATAATAATAAGAGTGTACGACGCTGTGGGGTGCGGTGCGTCGACCTGCCCCTTTGACGGTTGGCTTATCCTAGAGGGTTGGCGATGAGACCTGATTCCCTAGCCTTCACTGGCTACTGGGGTTGATGCTTGTGCCTTGCTGGGAGTAAAAACTGTCAAGGAATTTATTTCATCGATCGTCGCCCTTGCCGTTTGGTTGCGCCTTCACCTATTGCTACCCCATTGAGGAGAGTAACGCTTTTACTTGCCTGCTGTTCCTCTACTGAATAGAAGTTGCCCCTTTCTTCACTTGTGCTCGGAAGCCGAGCCCCGTTACCAACTAGCGCCGCTTCGGCGGCTTGCCAACGTCCCGTAATATCGTCTCCGCAAAATCCGACGGTAGACTGGCCTTGCGTTTCTTCGATCGCATAACTACAGCTTTGACGGTTAAAACTGCTCCTGCTGTGGTTTTACTACGACAAGCAATAAAATGAAAAATGATAATCGAAATGCAGACCTAAGTGACATCATTAGAAAATCGAAAAAGCCCGTACTATTTCTGTGTTGAGGTTCCGTTATGATATTTTTAAACGCAAACTGAAAAAGAACGTGGATGTGTGTGTATGCGTTTTTGTTTCACATGAGATCAATTGTGCAAAAACGTATTTAAACACGCGGTTGACCCTAATAATCTGTTTGTATGAAAATAACGAAAAAGTACTGTTCGTATAATACGTTAGTGCAGATTGCGTAGGTCTTTTCTCGGCCAGTAAAAGTAGTCGAAGAGTCCTTGACGTAAGGGAGTGGCCAAACAAAGGACTAAACCATGTATCATTGTTTTGCGTGATACACTTAAACGTCGCGTTTAGATATGCGCGCATTTCATAGGATTCAGCTAACGTTGGATCACGCTACAGTGCCGCGATCGAATCAACCGAGATCAACAACTGACAGTAAGCCATATGTCAATAAATTTAATAAGACGACAGAATAAACAAATGATTGATCTGCAATGTTCCAATTAGCGTCGTAATTTGTGCAATGAGTTACCAAAAAATAACGACAAGTTCACGGTTATTTCTGTTTGTGATTCAACAGAGCTCATACCTCAGACGCATTTCGTTGTTCTACTGGAGACCGCTATCCGTCATCAATTCATTGCATCAATATAATCCACTACCATCAGGCCACTAAATTTACAATATTACCCCATTGAAAAATCATCACGCGACATCTTCCGGCCAAACTAGGCTCTATCAAGCCGATAGAAGGCTTATTGTCGTCATAAATTTTGATTAAGCCTCAGCGCTTTTATTCATTTTGCTATTCTGGGGTGCTATACATTACAGGTTTACGTCGACTCAAGACTAATAAACGAGTCTCATAGCTAATTTGGCTGTTGTACTATGATATAAATTACGTTAAACAGGCTTTGATTCGTACACACTACCAGAGGACATAGTTACTATAGAATTTCTGTTAATCAGTGAGGTAATACAAGATAAATCCGCACTACGGATATTGACTGTCATCAGATCGCAGAGATTCAGATCCCTGAATTTTCATCTGATCAACGGTAAACTTTCGAGTTCAGGAGGAGCAATTGCAGGCGGAAATTTTGTAGGAAGGTGCAGCAGGCTAGCAATGAAACAACCGTCTAACGTGATTTTTTTCCATTGAAAAGGCAGCGAGGATCGAGTGATGGATAGAGACGCATTATCTAAAAGCTCAGGTATGTGACAAAGCATTAAAAGGCGGCTTTTAAGCAGCAAATATTAGCAAAAGTATTATTTGAGACGATGAAGAGCCGGTCGACATTAATCAAATTAATGCAGAGATTCGTGTAACTGCTCTTTCTCTTCTAATAACGTGAGGTAATATTTCTTTTGCGGCATGAAAATGCTTTTCGCCATTGATGAGCGTGTGCATTCAATCATCGATATCTGATGACTTGGTGAAGTCGAGCTGAATCTTTGCTACTAAATACCACGTAATGAAAGCATTACTGGGACCATTGCTTCTGTTCGCTAGAGACCGCTCGTTGCTTTTTTCGTAGTAGCACTCCTACTCGTTGCTCGTTTGAACAAACGATAGATCGTCATTGCGAACCGAACAATGCTCATTGATTAGACCACAACAATAACGAGTTGTACTACGGCTATTACTGCTGCCGCCCCAATGCTTCTAGTGCTCTAACTGAAATTGTGGTCGCCGTGACTGGTAGTCGAAGGCGATAGTCCAGGGCTTTTGTTGCCCCTGCGGCTGGTTGTCTTCGCTACGAGCATTGTGGTGTTGTAGTGTCTTCGTTGCCAAAGTTATTGCACAAGGGGCCACGACTCTGGTGCTATTCAGCCCCAGCTATTTAGTGTCCTGGCTTTGCTTGGGGTTGGACCATAGGGGGTGCTATGGGTATGTTATTGAAACGTTGCCAACAACCTCTTAACACTGTACAAACGTGCCTGAATGCCTCGTCATGAGGGCTATCCAACCAAGGACTGGTTTCGGCGGACAAGGGACGATCATAGCTAGGAATCGTTGGGCTTATAAAAACGGTTTCGTCTGTCCTGGTATCGCCTACCGAGACGTGACGTGGCAAGCTAGCCATGAGTTTGCATCTGCGAGACCTTCTAAACGTTGTGAATGCTTTGACGTGTGTTTGTGTTTCTCGCTGTATTGCCGGTTGTTTGGGCCTACTGTCTTCTGCTTTTTGCTTATGTGCGCGAGTGCATAATGTCCTTCGGCGCCTATTGAAAACCCGTTTGTGTCTGGATCATCAGATTAGAATAAGCCTCAAACGCAACATCCCGTCCGAAAGTCGGTTTTGTTCGGATAGGAGTTAGTTCCCAGTAAACGGGAGGTCGGAACAAAGCTAACTAGAGGCTAGACGGGAGGCTAGAGCGGCACGCAGTGTCTTCCACACATCACTGCCTTACGCTAGTCTTTGAAAGTAGTCTTCACGTTAGTTTTACACAAACCTTTATCCTAATCTGCTTAGTTAGCTGAGTTTTGCAACAAAAAGGGGGAAACAAGGAAGGAATTGGTGTTTCTGATATCAGGGTCTGTCAGCTCAAAGCCCCGTTTGCAAAAGATGATGGGTCCCGATCAACACGTCCGTTCCCGCGGACTCGTGCCGGATGAGACTGTTGACTGAGAGAAGTCCTAGAGACAATGGTTGTTGAAGATAAACTACGTAAGAAAAGCCACTCGCCATTGCCCGTCAGTGTATAGTCGTTACTAGTGCATCTCGAAACGACTTACCCGGAAGGTTGTTAAATCTTGTTCTGTCCTGTCACAAAATAAGATTGAAACAGAAATTCGTAAAGAGATTTAGGGCAGCGATGTCAAGAATGCCAATTTGTATTCCACCGAATACTGAGGAACATATAGAGCTGTACGAAGCTTGAATCAGAGAAGCGTCTTGCTCACAACTAATAGAAAGTTATTTTGACTTAATAGTAGAGGCTTATTTGCCGCTGTTTTTACACCACACGTGGTCTAATGTTGATTTTTGACGTTGTACTGTTCGCAGCAAAGTTACGATTTGTCGAATTATGCCCGCACTGTTTCATTGACGTCCAATTTAGCTTGATTTATCTCAGTGACGTTCTTCTAGGACGCTTTTATGGTATTCTCTGGCGTTCAGCCTCTGTCAGTATAACTATTGGGATGTAACCATTCTGTTTGCAGATATTATACATAATATATTATTGCGTAATATTCATCGTCGTACAGATAGGTCGCCGTTGTAACAGGTTTAGTAGTAAGTCAGGACTATGTTAGTCGTTGTTGTTGTTCTTGGGGTCTTGGGGTTCCTACCATTGACACGGCTATACTTGAACCCATGAGGCTAGGAAGTGGACGGAACTATATCACGGATAAGGTAGCGTTTACCGACACACCGGGTTCTTTGGCCTTTCGGACAGCAGAGCATCGATGTCCATTACGACTTAAGAAGCGGGCACAACAGGACGGCACAGCGTTCACATTGCCCTCGCTGGCCTTACCTATTTCGCGACTCTAAATGACAGTCAGCCGGCCCTATGCAATATGATAACCACATTCTCTCCCGCGGTCCGTTGAATTTCGTGCATAACAAACGGCATTTTATACAAGGGCGTAACTACAATTACATAGGGTCGCCTCAGTGTTGTCCAAAATGGTGTACGCCGTCGTGACTCATAAAGGCACCGTGTATGTCCGGCGATCGTACGAATGAACGGACACGGGAAAACAGGTGGGCGAACTTTTAATTAGTGCATACGAACTTCTACTACTTTTACTATGGTTTCCGTTGTCTTTCGCCGAGCTACCCTCGGGTTTCCTTTTCCACGCAGTGCGCACTAATTATGCTTGTTAATCGTGTTTGTGCGTATTGTAAGTGCTTGATAAATCTGTTGGTATCTTTACAGGTAGCGCAGTTATTATATAAACGTAAGACGAAAATGTGTAAAGCCTTAGAAACAGTTATGTAACCGAGAGGGTAGAAATGATTTAGACAGATGGCAAACACGTGTTTGCGTGCCTCTGTATGTACGTCATATTGTACGATAAGATAATGGTTTAGTTCAGCGAGCATTGTGCAAGCGATTCTTGTTCGTTGCAAAAATAGCATAGTGTTAAACTATTCATTAATGATGTTAAATTTTTGCTATTCTGCATTTGGAGAAAGAGCACAGAGCCACACCCAAATAGGATTATTTCGAACAACACAGCTATAAACTTGTGATTTGGATGGATCGAGTAGGTAGCTAAACCCACAGGATTAGGCTTTGCTTTACTTCGCATGAAGGTCGTGGCCAGAAGTGCATTTTTCTATGGCTCGTTATAACGGACACGTCATTTTGCTGTTTACAGGTGCCTAAAAGTGAATTTTGCGCTAGCTCGATCTTCACGCAACTACGTTTCATTCAGGTCTGCGTCAGTCAGAAAAAATCTATTGATGCAACTGAGTGGCGAGTGAAATGTCTTTCGTAGAAAGTGGTCAGATGATTAACACAGCCTATATCTATTAGGATTTCGTCTTCAAAATAGCTATGAAGATATAAGACTTTTTTCATACGGACATCAATTGTTTACTTCCTTTAGCTGTTAGTTATAGATTGCTTCGGTGCCACTCGATTAACTCTATGTAGGAAGATGCGTTAGACTGGACAAAATTTAATGGCGAATAAATTGAATAGAAGATCGGAGAAAGTGCGCTCTCTCTGTTAATCTACGAAGCTGGCCGCACTGCCACTGTTCGAGACGATAGCCAGAGTTATCTGGGGCTACCGTTGATTACAAATTGTTCTTGCAGTTTTCCGGTGTAGCTGACTGTTGCTCGCGGTTGGCTGTCCATAGTGTGACCGCTCAGTGCCACCGTCTTGGATTATACGCACACCAAAGCTACACGTGAAACTTTACTTGCCGCCCGTTTTTTTTTGAAAAATTTCATTTTTAGCATTCATTAGATCAGGGGGGCGGTTGACGTTTTCGTGGAATGCTCACACACGAAATAATAGGTTTTAAATATCAATGACACATATGCACGCATGCAAATACACACACCTTAATGAATAAAAACAACCAAACGACACTGACGTAACTGAATTATTCCGGAGAAAGAGCGAGGACTGAGGAACGATCAACACGTTCATGACATGTGTCTCGCTGTGATGTTATGAGTGGATCGGTTACCGAATGATGTTTTTTGATACCTTCACTATTTCATCTTTCTACACTACGTACGCACGGAGAAATATACACTGTATTTGCATATATTATGTGTGTGTGTGTGTGTGTCTGCTATATCATAGCTTTCCCCGACAGTCCTGCGTGGTTGACAACATAAGCTGCTTCACTGTAATGAAGTAGCATCTAGGAACAGTAACCTTTCGACGATACTCTCACTAGTCAGACTCGGCCGACAAGCGGCGCACGCAATGGTCCTTGGGGGATACCCAGACGGCACCGATATCGCATGTAGCTGCTGTTTAGCTCCCTGGCCTCCTGCTACTGGCACTGCTGCTGTGGGCCACCATTTGACCCAACTCGGTTCGACGCAAGTCCGCGCCTGACTCAGCCCTTATTAGGTGAACACGAAAAAGCCTTCGTTGCAGCCCCGATAACACAGATTCTTATAGCAGCGACGACAAACGAAGAAGGACGAAAAGATCAGCTAGGAAAGCGACACGAAGCAACCGTAGCAGCAGCAGCAGCAGAAGATAAGGGAAAGCTGCTACTGCGTCAGGCAATGAACGAACGAACAAACGACGAAGAAGACGCCGATGATGACGACGAAGCGAAAAAAGAAAAAGGAATTGGCTCAGCGACAAGAAATGTTGTCCATGTTGACGGCAATGCTAGAAGCAACGTCGGTCTCGGCAACGTAACCGAGAAAGTGGCGCACGAATAGGACTCTTCGAAGAAGACTAAGCGGCGGGCCAATAAAGGTTCCGGTTGGAATCCACGCCTGGCCCGCCGGCGAACGAATGGAGTCCGTAACCTTTGGGCAACAGACAGGATCGGCTCAGCACGCCTGAATGTGCACCACCTGCCAAAGCCGTCGGCAGCAGCAGCTAGCTCACCGGTCAAGCCAAGCCACGACTACAGCGCCAAGTCTTACGATGTCGATCGGCTTTCTACGCCCCTGTTGGCTTCGCCCCCTAGCCTGTACACAGACCCGCATAGCCACCACCTCCGACAACCACGGACGGCCGCAACACAGTCGATGCCGAAGCAACAGCGGCCGCCTCCCGTTGCCGCCGGAAAGGCGCCAGGGACAGGCAGTAAAGCAGGCAACCGACGCTGCTCGGTGGTACCCGTACCCGCTGCTTGCTCTCCTTAAGTAGCAGCAGAGGCTTGTACTCCTGGTGCTACAGCTCGTATCGCTTGTGCTGAGTCGGCTGCTGTTGATCATAGGGGCCGACGTAACACTGAGACGAAACGGGTGACAGCCACGACTACCGTCAACAGCGCCAGTACCGCAGTGTGTGGGCTGTGGTGGCTCGGCGGCGGCCACGCCCGGGTTTCTCGCAGTTTTCGAGGCATGGGAAACAGGCAAAGGGAAGTGGGCTGTCAAGGGCACCAACCCCGAAGTAAGGCCAAGAGAAGGATGTCGGCGCCAATGGCGGTGGTGTAAAGCGCAGGCAGGCAGGCGTAGCTTCGAGAATGTGACTGCTGATGCACTGAATTCATAAGGGAAGAGGAAGCGGGTTGAAAGGAGCAAAAAAGCGATGCGTACGCTTACAAATGCCGGACAGCGCATTGCATGAGAGATCGCTGGAGGCGTGGCGTTGTTAGCCAGTGACAGAATGTTGGCGACGTGTTTTGGGCATTCTAAAGGCAAGGAACTGTTGGCTGAAGGTTTCAACGAGCAGAAAAGATAACGCAAAAAGCGAAGAAAGTAAAGAACTCTCGGCATAGGCAAGCTACACAGAGGGATTGCTTATTGAACGGTGACGCGTCGGCCCTGTGGCTGATCCATTTCGACTTGCGTCGATCTCGCACCTCCTTCACTCTTTCAACCCCACGAATATCGGCGGCTACTACAATCACCTCTAGCACCACCATTCCAGGTCAAACTGCTTTTATCGTATTGCCTCTACCACTTGGTCAGAGGCTGCCGGTCCAGCGTTTAACCCGCACATGAGATCTGTGTCTGTAGGGTTATTGCGCCAATACTGAACATGATCCTCATCACCCCTTCAGTCGTCCCTGTTGACACAGCTAACATAAACAGCACCGACTGCAACCCAATTCGGAACCTGCTGCATTTCTAAGATATGGCTTTTCGACATCGATATCCAGAGCATATTTAAATTTCTTAAAATATTCTTGTGGACAGGTTAGAACGGGCGACCGTGTGCAAGAGTGTTAGGGTTAACCAACTATTAGGGTAACTAACTCGAATACGTTGATTCACATCTTCAGAACTTGGTGGTCTGTTGGGTATGGTTCTACTGAGTGACTCTTCCGATGTTTTTAGGATCTGTCTTAACCCGATTCGGTGTCCTGGTTGAGATGCCCGTCGTGTATAACTGCCTGGCAAAGATATTCCGTGCGATGGAAACATGCTTGCGGTGGTTGTACCACCCGCCGGCAAGATGGAGCAGCAGGCCCCAGCTTATGTCTAAGACGACGAGGTCGTCGCTATTCTAGTCAGCGCCACATACTCCTACCAGCCTTCCTTGCCGAAACTGTCCTCAGCTTTTCAGCCGCCACTGCGAGGCACTGTTCGTTGCAAAGATCGTTTCACCCGTTCCCTCCAAAACACGCTGCATTGTGATTCGCTACGGCTCTATAATCGTAGCAGCAAGCAGCATCAGCGATGTTGGCGCGACATCAACAACGAGAGCAACAACAAGCGTCGAAGCGCTAATGGACATAATGGTTTCTGCTGTTCATAAAAAGGGCGGCCACCTCTACCTTCGCCGTCGTCCGTCCAAGTCAGACTCACTATAGCTCTAGTCCGATACAACGAGTGTCCTTTAAGTTGTTTACTTGTCCTCTTTGCACGCCACCCGCTGCCGCCAAAATCAGACGCCTCAACATATACCCAAACCGCTCGCTATGGCCCCGTTCTTCTATTTCTTGCGGAACATTAAAAAGACAGGCATGTGGTATAGCCTCGTAGGCAGGCGAGATTCAGACAAGCGGGCTGTTTGGAGTCCATGTGTATATATAACAAAGCTTAACCCAGGGCAGGCGGAGCTAATTTAAGCACGCGTGGCGCCGAGTTTTAACTAGATGCCGCATATATTTAGCTAGAATGAAATAGGTGTGTATATGGGGAGAACGTTCCAACACTAGCAATTAAAGCCGATCGGGTTAAAGTGACCATGGTCTGAGGACATCTCTGTTAAACGCAGCCACCTGAAACAAAAGTGAATTTTCGGAAAAATGAAAAACAATGAAATCAGTTGAGGTCCGGCGAAGAAAGGCGAGTTGTGTGGAGTGAGTCGGCTATGGGCACGGTAAACGACGGAAGAGTTAACCGCCAGGCTGCATAGGATGAGAATGAGAACCATATCGTTTGTGCTAGCGACCGTCCTTCCATTACAGAGCTGTTAAGGCTGTAACTGAGCTCGCCACGGAGGTCATTGCACCTTTCATGAAGACTAAAACGGCTATCAGTCCTTTCGAAAGGCTTAAGCTGTCGTCACTTTTCCAATTTCTGCGTCGTTAGGTAAAGTTATTCTGGTTCACTTGGAAAAACGAGACGGGCCTATATAGGGCAATATCGAATGCGTGCGTCAATACCAAGAAAATAATCTGAGTTAGCCATTAGATATGTTAGTACCATTACGATGCGAATTCGTCGAGGCGAAATTCAAGCCTGTCGACAACAACTCATCAACAATATACACCCGATCTGGGTTCTTAGATTTCTATTCGAATGTACTCAGTTGTATGAGTGGGAAGCTACCGAAAGCAGCTGCCAGCTGGCGGCAATCCTATACCTTCATCGTTTTCCGTAGTGCCTTATTGTTCACTCACCCTCAACAGCTAGTCACCCACGGGCATTGCTAGCAGGCAATCGGTAAGACCTTCTGTCTTACCGTTCCTTCCCTTCGGCACCATATGCCACTCCGTAGGTAACTACGGTAACATCATATAGTCCACGACTGTAGAAATTGGGTCGGTAGAGACTACAGCTGGCTGCAGCTGATAGCAGAATCAGCAGCGACAGCGGTGTCACTAGAAGGGTCCGGAGAGGCTAAGGTGAAATTGTTTGACAAACCCCTGGGGCATTGACATGGAATTAGCAGAAATAGGCGGTAGTATGTGCTATAGCCAGCGCCGTTTCGAGGCAGTTGGAGAAACGGCAAATGCACAATGTAGTGATAACTTACAATGTAGTGAACATTGTTTAATTAAATTTATTTAATAATAAAAATAGTTTAACTAAAATAAAAATTGTTTAATAAGCATTGTATAATGCAGTCAGTACTGGAATGAACCGTGTGAGGTGGAGAAGGACAAATGGCCGTAGCATCTGAGTAAACTCACGACGTCCACTTGGCTAAGGCCGGAACCGAGTGCTTCCTCGGCCAGCTAGAGAAACCGCAGCCACCGATAACGCACTATGAGCAAATCAGGTAGTTTGTGCGTATTAAAGCCACTGGCTGAATATACTTTGATTGACTAACTTGCTTGCGAACAAACCCATT